CGCTCTGCCACTGAGCCGCCCTCAACTCCCAGTCCTCAGCTTCACGTATTTCAGAATGCATATGATAACACTTCCTCCGCTGGCAGGGAGAATTATTTTGTAAATAAAGGTACTAAAACTAAAATAACTTGTATTTTACCAATTTTGAGGCTTCAAAAAATAGGCTGCAGTGACAGCACAAGACAGCACAGCAGGGTCACATGGGGGCTGTGACAGGGACATGATACTGTCCTCCAGGCAATCCAACTTTTTCTTTCTTTCCTTAAATGGCTTTGTGGTGTGTGTGTGTGTGTGTGTGTGTGTGAGAGAGAGAGAGAGAGAGAGAGAGAGAGAGAGAGAGAGAGAGAGAGACTACATCTCTTAGTTAGAATTCTGGATTATGAAAACATACAAGAATAATCCTTAAGACAAAAGGACCCTTCTCTGAGCAAGAAGAAAATCCCAGAATCCTATGCATGAATTTTATGCTCTCGATACAGTTTTTCTTTTCTCCCCTCCCCCATAAGCTATATCTGTTGGCATCTCTGGGCATATTGCCCAGCTCAGCTTAAGTTTTTCATCTGTTCAGTCTTCTCTGAGTATATTGTGACTGATACTTCTAAGTGATAGTTTAGCATTTTCTTTTTCTTTTTAAATTCCCTCCAAAACGGGATCATGACCGGGGCTAGCAGAGGGCGTCAGGCAGGACACACAATTCTCTGCACAATACTCCTCAGGTTTTAGGTAAAGGGCACAGCAAAGTTGAGCCCCCAAAACAATCTTCTTAAGTAGCTTAGTAATCACTGTTCTCAAGTCAAGCATTATCAGACCCAAAATCCCTTTAAAACATGACAGGCTTCAATAACCAAAATATACTTAAAAGCCGGCTTTTAGCTCTACATCCTGTCCTACTTTCAGTCCTCATTAGAGGGCTTCAATGACATTCCCCATATTAATTAGTACCACCCTTATTGATACTACTTTCTAGAAACATGCTAAAAATATTCTGACCTTCTGAGCATACTAAAGAAAACGCGCAGAATACAGGCAACAGACGTGAGGCACATGGTCTATTTTTAAACCCAACTGTTCCCTTTTGTTGTAATCGTGTTTAGGTCTGAAGTAGGCTCTTCGGGCTCCAGCCCAGCTTCTAACTGCAGAGTGTGGCCTCCATACACAGAGCAAACTTCCTAGCTTCCTAAGGGAGCGCGGCCCTCTCACAGCTTTGTGCAGGGCCCTCCGCTGTGCGCTTCAGGTGAGCACAATCAGAACGTGCGTGACGAGGACGCTCGTGGCCTGTCACCTTCGCAGCCGTCCTGTGTGGAGGAGCACAGTGCTCAAGCTACCTCAGGAAGCCACAGGGTGGCTCCGGCTGCAGTGGCTGCTGCCCAAAGCTGAGGAAGGGACTTCGAAGACTCAGCGGCATGACTTCTTTCCTTTTCCTTCTTCGGAGTTCGAGTTTTATGGTCACGCTGTTCAGGCCTTGGCGGCGAACTTGCGCAGAGGGACAGCCGCCCCTTCTGCTGCTACTGCTTAGCCTCCAGCTTCTCCTCATGCTTGCTGGGGTGCGGCCGCAGGTCCAGGGGCTTCTACTTCCTGCCCCCACAGCATTTCCTCGGGTTTTCCTTCTGGTCTGGTTGATGATGGCGAGAACACGGGCGATGGGTCTGCGGACAGCTTGGATCTTAGAGCGCTGGGATGCCGCGCTGCCTGCACAGCTGTGACAGCTCCACCTTCAGGTCGTCCAGCTGTTTCAGCAACTCCTGCTTCTTGCTGCAAGTCCTGAGCCTCAATCTTGGCCATAGTGGCAAAAGAAGCCGCTGGAGAGGCGCCTTCTCCGAGGCAAAGAGGAAGGGGCGGGCAGTATGACTTCTTAGGGAAAAGAACCCCTCAGACAGTACAGTCCTTACTCCTGCATCCTTTGTGGGAGTCCTAAATCCCAATTGGCTGAGTGTAATCCTATCATTTCATCCTACTAATACTTTGAATATTACATATTGTGACAGCTAACTGTCGACCTGAGTATGATACACCGACTAACCTGGCTGAGGG